GCAGCTCCCCCCCCCAAATATTTAAATCCTAAGACTACAATACAAAAAGAGCAAAGGAAAGTGTGATATAATGGAAAAAAATTTCAATCTAGGTGTTTAAACACTTAGCTAGTGGCCTAGGCCCTACTCTTGATTCTTGTTATGACTTTTGGGAAGAGGCTTAACCTTCTCTAAAAAGGTCTTAGAATAGTAGGTTCCCTTCCAATTTGAACATCCTGTGGATCTGGAAAAGTAAAAAAGAAAAAAAGGCATTTATAGACTGTTTTCTCGAATTATTGCTCTCTTCATTTCTGTCTGCCTGTCATTTAACAAAGTAGGCCCAGCCCCAGTAAATTTATTTGTACAAAGACTGTTGGACTAGATGACCTCTAACATCCCTTCCAGCTCTAAATCTGTGATCTTGATCAAGCCATGGCACTTGAAAGTGTTAGATTGTCTTGAGCAATCCTGTCTTTTCACTGTCTCTCTTTTCTGGAAGAGGTTCATAGCGCCCATTGCTACGGGCAGCATATGCCCTCGTTCCTTCTTCTCTTCATGTGTGCAGCCAAGGAGGCTGTAAGCATGCTGCTAAAAAGCCTGTTCTGCATGGAAACACAGTTAAACAAAAGCCCTTCGGAGTGAAATCAGTGTTCCTCTAAGCATTATAGATCATTAATTTGGAAATAAAATGCTTCCTCTCACAAAACCCCAGGTCTTCTGCATGCTGTTTGCCTTTCCATTGCTTTTAAACATTGCTAGAGTGGGTATGATATTTCTTGCCTTCTCATTGGGAGGGGAGGGAGTGGAGATGAGATACTTAACTGAAAATTAAAAATTAACAACCGATAATTAAAATTATTTTTTAAAAAAATAATAGAGGCACACTCCTAAAACAAGGAAAATTAGGATTCTTAGGTTATATAGTTAGTAAGTACTCATTAAGCACCTAGTATGTGTCTAGGGACACAAGGAAGGGTAAAAGACAATCTCTGCTCTCAAGGTACTCACAGTTCTAATGGAGATAACATGAAAACATCTATGTACAAACAAGGTATATGCAGGATAAATTATAATCAGCAGAAGGAAAGCAATAGCATCAGGGGGATTGGAACGGGTGGAATTCCATCTGGGGCTTGAAGGAATCCAGGGAAGCCAGAAGGCAAAGGCAAGGGAGAGCTTTCCAGGTGTGGGAAATAGAGAAAGTAAATGAATCTGGAGATGAAGGGTTATGTGTGAGAAGCAGCAAGGAAGCCAGTATCCCTGGATCATAGATTACTCAGTGGGAGTAAGGTATAAGGAAGGTAGGAAGAGGCCAGCTTATGAAGGGCTTTAAAAGACAAACAGAACATTGTGTATTTCATCCTGGAGATGACTGGGAGATAACTGAAATTGATTGATTGGGAATGGGAGTGGCTGGGGCTTTGCATCTGACCTGGAGATATCAGCCCTTTAGGAAGATCACTTTAGTAGCTGATTGATGGATGAACTAGAGAGAGAAAAACTTGATTTAGGGTGTCCAACCAATGAGCTAGTACAAAAGTACAGGGGTGAAGTGATTACGCCTTCACCAAGGTAGTGACAATGTCAGAGGAGGGAAGGGAATATATGTAAGAAGTATTAGGAAGGTAGAACTAACTGGATTTGGCAAGGGATTGGATGTAGTGGTGGTGAGAGAAAATGAGGAGTTGAGGATGACACCTAAACAGTGAACCTGGGTGACTAGGAGGAAAGAATGTGTGCAAAGTGCATGGCAACCTGTAAAGTACTATTTGGATGTCATTTGTTGTGTTGGCCCAGACCTATAATTAGGATAGGAAACGCAGTACAAAAACTTCTGTACAGCTCAGCGTTAGAAAGCATCTTTGACCACTTGGATAAGTGACTTGGCTAAGTCCATACAGATAGTATATGTTAGAAGTAGAACTTGATACTACATCTTCCTGCTTGACAGGCTTTTATATTATTATTATTATTAATAATTATTACCAATAGTTCTTCCACTATTTGATAACAGATTGGGTATGGGGAGTGAGAGTGAGGAGTCGGACATCAAAGGTTGCATGCCATTGGTGACTAAGAATTATAGAAAGTATAGAAGAAGGGAAGGTTTGAGGGTGAACAGGGGGATAATGAATTCAGTTTTCTGTATGGTGAGTTTAAGATGTATATGGGATAACCAGTTTGAGATGGCCAGTAAGCCTCTGGAGTACAAGACTGGAGGTCAGGAGAGAGCTTGAGACTGAAGAAGTGGATTTGAGAATGATTAGCAGAGAGATGGTGATTGAATTCTTGGGAGCTGGTAAGATCACTAAGTGAAATTGTATGGGAGAAGGGAGAAGAGAACACAGGACAGAGCCACGAGGGAGACTCAGAATTAGCGGCAATGAGCTGGATGAAGATCCAACAAAAGAAGACTGAGAGGAATGATCAGATAGGTAGGAAGATAGCTAGGATAGAGTAATAATCATGAAAATCTAGAGAGAAGATAGTAGTGTCAAGGTGGAAAGAGTGATTGACAGTGTTAAAGATTTTGGAGAGGTCAAAAAAATTGAGATTTGAGAAAAAGACAAATAACAGTTCATTGGTGTCTTTGGAGAGAGCAGTTCTGGTTGAACGATGAAGTCAGGAGCCAGATTGTAGAGAGTTAAGAAGATAGTGATAGGAAAGAGTGGAGGGATCAAGAAGTGTAGTCACGGGGCAGCTAGGTGGCGCAGTGAATAGAGCACTAGCCCTGGAATCAGGAGGACCGGAATTCCAATCTGGCCTCAGACTACTTGACACTTACTAGCTCTGTGACCCCGGGCAAGTCATTTAACCACGTTGCCTAGCCAGAAAAAAAGTATAGTCACAAAAGAGAGGAGAGACATAATCTATCCACAAATATTTAAATGCTGAGCAGGAAGGAGGGTGTCCCAGGCTGGAGGGAATCACTTGAGCAAAAACAGATGCGTAAGAATAGCACTGGTGTGTCCCAGAGATAATGAGCAAATCTGTTGACTAGAATGGAGGACATAGGTTAAGGTGTAATGCAAAAGGGGGTGGAGGGGAAGGAGAAAGGCCAGGTTATGGCATGAGTTGATGCTAGACAGAAGTAGGTAGTAGGGAGCTATTGGAGCTCCTCTTGTAAACCAGGCCCGAGGTAATAAGGCTTGGAGAGTAGGGTAGCAATGAAGAAGAGAGGGTGAATACAAGAGACATTTTGAAAGAAGAAACATTGGGGTTTGGTTATAGATCTAGCTGTAGGCAAACAAAGAAAGGGAAGGTCAAAGATGACCCAGTTCATTCAATACTTATAAAGTTCTTGCTATATGCAAAATATTGTCCTGGGGAAATGCAAAGATAAATTATTGACATACTCCTTGCCCTTGATGTTGGAAGAATGATGATATTGTAGCAATCAAGTGAAGTTGATAGTAATTTACTAAGTGCCTGGTATGTGCCAGACCCTGTGCCAAGTGCTGGAAGGAGGAAATTTGAGAAGGGAAGCCTTTTGGAGGAGATGTGCCAAGTTTGTTTGGGAACCTGGTAATAGTTTGAATGTGAGTGCAGGACACCCACATTTATGTGTCCTGCTCAAATATTAAATGGCTGTGTGGTCTCATTGATTTGGGAGTTCCCCCCAGTAATATAGATTATAACCGAGGCACACCTGCCCATCCTATACACTCTGGTCCATGGCCTCCCATAGGTTCACCAAAGGGAATCCACTCAGCATGCTGTTGCCCTTTGATTTTTCCTGATATTGAGAGACTACCAGTAGAGTCCTTGGTTCCCTGATGACATCATTTACTCCAATTCATCTTCAAAGTTCCATACTTGTTATATGCTTCATCCTGATCACACCATTAACATTTTTCTCTGTGATCCTCTGTTACTCATAGCCTCAATAGTACTGATAATCTCTTTGCTTCTGGTAGGAGTTTTGTTTTTTAAAGGAACTATGCAATTTCCTGTAGGCAATCTAGCCTGATTTTCTAGTCTTGTTCAGTTATGTGAACAGCTCCCATAGTGGATTTGCGTCTTCTCACTAGAGGGGTGTGTGTGTTGTATACACAACTGTATGTACATACAAATGTATATGTGCTATATGTGTGTATTTTATGTATACAAGTGTGTGTGTATGTGCAAATGTGTATGTGCTTGCACACACAGTGATAGACAAGCTCTGTAGCAGAGGTTCTTAACCTAGGATTTGTGAACTTTTTTACCCCCAGTTTGATAACTGTATTTAAACTAGCTATATTTATTTCCTTTCAAATCCTATGTATTTTCTTTTATTCATTTAAAAATATTATTCTGAGATTGGGTTCATAAGCTTCCCCAGACTTCTGTGATGCAAAAAAAGTCAAGAACCCCTGAAACCACAAGAATAGATGAGCTTTCTGGGACTTCATACTACCCAGGTGTGCTGGTGATAGCTGGGGAGAGGAGAAAAGATGAAGTAGCGGTTGTTCAAAAAAATAAATAAACTTGGAGCTCAGAGGAATTGGGGGGAGGGAGCTAATATAGAAAAGTGAAAAGAAACATTCTAATATAGAAAAGTGAAAAGAAACATTTCTTTCTACTCCTTGTTTGACACAACTTGGTGTTCCTCCCTGCTCCAAGAATCGGAAAAGGATGATGGCTGTTTTCTCCTGTCTAGGCTTGAGCAATACCTCAGTTGTACAGTTATTTTAGTATGTAATTCTCTTGTGTATTGCCTTCACTGTGGGTCATGTAGGTTGCCAGCTGGAGCTGCAGGTTGGCTCCTGTAGGGTGGAACCCCAAGTCATGCCCAGTTTGTTTGTGTCCCAGCAGGTTAAATAGCATTTATTCAATGAATTGAACGAACAGTAGATAGAAACTCCATATAGGAATTGCCCTAGGTCAGCTTTTCCATTGCCCATTAAAACTACAGGCAGAAGTGAAACGTTTGTTCTGTAGAACTGCTCAGCTCTTAGTGATTCAGCAGTTAGCAAAAAATGAATTGAGACCCCTAATTCTGGCTTTCTATTTTTTGTGTATGTCTTCATATTCTGTAGCTTTATCCAGAAGTACCCACCAGTGAAATTTTTATCAGAAAAGGATCGAAAAAGAATTTTGGTAAGTTTGCATATATTCTTCATTAACAGTATTCTTTTTAATAATGGAACTCCTTTATCCTGTTAATCTATGATCCTTGATGACTTAAGAATTATAACCCTTCCCTTTTAGGATGCTTGAAATTCAATGTAGTACAAGTTTTGTCCAAGTATTCACAATAGCCCAATTTGTAGGAACTTAAAAAAAAGAAAAAAAGAAAAAGGAGAAACACTTGTAAGAAAAATGTTACTTATCTTTGAGTAGCAAACATAAACCAACTTTACATAAAACCTCCTTTTCTTAGAGCAGACAGATTGGTCGCCTCCTGCCTTTTCTGGTGAATCACATAACTCAGACCCAGAGCAAACCAGAAGCTTCTCTTTCAAATGTCAGTTCTCTGCTTGGGTCACAGCCTCTTTTTACAACTCACCAGAAATATCTGTGGCCCCATCTGAGCTTGAATGGAGTGACCCATGATGAAGTGGCACAGGGCAATTATTTCTCTCCAGTCTTCTGTAGCCATAGGACTGGGTGCTGAGTTTTTCTGATTAACGGCACAATCATGACCATTTGATAATCTTGTGTAAAGTTCTATAGGAACTAATGGTTTTGAAGAAGCCGTTATTCATATGTAATGTGGCAAAGGTCACAGGGTGATGAATGGTAGCAGAATTTATTCTGTTTTACAAATAACGGCAAGGTACTGACTTTACTATTTCTAGAGCAATTGCCCTAGGATAAGTTAAACTGTGAGAAAAGAAAAGAAGTTCATCTGTTTTTTTTTTTTTTTGGTGGGGTTCGAGTTTAAAATAATAGTTTAAGCTCTAAAAAACAAACTGTCCATTTATGTATAGTGACTTACTATTTATGAAATGGTTATACACCTTTAATTTAAAAATTCTTTAGCATTAAAACTTGGGGCCCTTTTGATGGAGGGGGTGTTGAAATTTTCATCCACAAGAATGAATAAATTTTGAAATCATTTTTCTCTATTGCTGAGCAACCTCACGTTTAAATGCCAAGCTTGAAGTTAGCTGTTTTTGGCACCCTGAACAAGCATTAACATTGATGCTTCAACTGGAGTTTGTACGTAGAAAATACCCAAAGTTGTATAAACTCATAATCCAATTTTCACTGTCAAAGATAACAAACCTTTTTCTGCTGCTACCTGTAGATAGATTTAGCAAGAAGATTTCTTTTTCATTGTTGATTTCCTTTTCCTGGTGAATTTTTTTTCCTCCTCCAGAAGCCCTCAGCTTCTATCTGTTTTCCTTCTATTAGGAATACTTGCTTAATGGGCTGAATATGATAAGAAGAAAATATTCTGGCTGCCTAGCTAAGTAACATAAAGCACTAAGTGCTCCTGATAGAGGAGAATTACTCCATTAAAGCAACTCTGGTGGGTTACCGCCAAGGCCAAGGGACCTTCTCACAATTTCATGCCACTACTGAAGTTAATGAAATGCAGGAAGCAAGCCTGTATAATTCATAAATACAATACATGGCTTCAGGTTCTAGGCTGTTGATTCTGCAGTTTAGATGCAAAAATGGCTGTATAATGCAAGGCAGTTAGGTGGTGCAGTGAGTAAAGCACTGGGCCTAGAGTCAGGAAGATCAGAATTCAAATATGGCCCCAGACACCTGGCTGTGTCACCCTGGGCAAGTCACTTAATCTCTATCTGCCTCCATTTCCTCAGCTGTAAAATGGGAATCATAATAGCACCTACCTCCTAGAGTTATTTTGAGGGTCGAATTAGATTGTATTTGTAAAGCACAGTGCCTGGCACACAGTAAGTGCCTAATAAATACTCTTTCCTTTCCTTTTCCCTTCTCCATAGGATAAGTTTACATGCCTTGTTTGAGAAAATGGGCTATTTTTAAAGCCTAGATCATAGGTTTGGAGCTGGAAGAGACTATGAAAGTCATCTGATCCAACCCCTCTTCACTTTAAAGAGGAAAAAATTAAGACCTGGAGAGAATAATCCTCTTTTCCCTCCCACCCCAACACACACAATTTACACAGGAGGAAACTGAGGCCTGGAGAAAATGGTTGACTTACACAAGGTCAGAAGGATAAGTAACAGAACCAGGCTTTGAACCCAAGTCATCAGACTCCAAATTCAGCATTCTCTCTGATGTACCATTCTTTTTCCTTTTATTTTTGTATTTTATTTTTAAGCTTTCATTTAGTATTTATTTTTTCCCCAGTTAACACGTAAAAACAATTTTTAACATTCGTTTTTAAAACTTTGAATTCCAAATTCTCTCCCTTCCTCCCTCCCCACACCCCTTCATTGAGAAGGCTGGCAGTTCCATATAGGTTATACACGTGTAGTCATGCAAAATATATCCATACTAGTCATGTTGTGATAGAAAACATAGACCAAAAAAAATGCTCAAGAAAAATAAAGTAAAAAAGAAGTATGCTTCAATCTGTATTCAGACACCATCAGTTCTTTCTTTGATGGACAGCATTTTTCATCCTAAGTCCTTCAGAATTGTCTTGGATTGTTGTATTATTGGGAATAACTAAGTCATTCACAGCTGATCATCTTACAATATCACTGTTATTTTGTACACAGTACATGTCACTTTTGATGCACCATTCTTTTAGCTTTATTTAAAAAAAAAAGTGTTAGACTTAACAGGGTTGAAAGCAACTCCAAGATCATTTAAACAGAGATAATAATTTCTGCCCTGACTATCTCACCAGGTGGATACATGGATGAAATGAGGTAATTTGTGTAAAAGCACTTTGTGAACTTAAAGAGACTGAGACTGAAATAGCAATTCTATTCTAAAGGGTGGTGTTTTTTTTCTTAGTAATCCCTTTCCCATTTACTTTTTTAGTACTTCTTTCTCCTAGTCCCCCCCCATCCCCCAAAAAAGGTATGAACCAGTAAAGTCAATTCAAATAAAATGTAGAACTGAATGATGATCACAAACTGTACAGTATAGTAGGGTAGTGAAAGTAGCACTGTGTTAAGAGCCCAGATCACATAGACTCTTTAGGCCTCAGTTCTTCAAATGCAGGACTAGGTAATGCTACCTTTCATTTGTATATCTCTCGATGGTTCACAAAGTACTTTTGTAGTCACTACCTTGTATCCATCCTATGAGATAGGCTAGAAATTCTTATCTCTGTTTAGGCGATCCTAAAGTCTCTTTCAACCATGTAATTCTATGGTTCTAAAAGGTTACCAAGAATGTTTTATTAATAGTGAACAAATTTAAGCACATTGAAAGTTAACCTCTCTGGATTTTAGTTTCTCCCTCTGTAAAATGCCCCATTTGGACTATTTGTCCTCTAGGGTTCTTCATGACAGGTTCTTCATGACATGTGGTGCGATGGAGAGCACTGAATTTGAACTCCTGAAGATTTGGATTTGAACCCTAGCCCTGTAACTTACTATCTGTGTGGCCTTGGACAAGTCACCTAAATTCTTTGGGCCTCCGTTTCCTCATCTGTAAAATGAAGGGCCTAGACTAGATGGTCACGAAGGTCACTAATCTAAATCTCTAATCCCTTTCCCAACTCAAACATTCTGTTGTTCCGTGATTCTAACTTGTGAGCAGTCAAAGTCCTGCCCCCTAAGAATGATAATTCAAAATCATTAATAAAATATACATTTATTAAGATAGGTGTTAGGTTCACCTGCACTTCCTCATCCCCATCATAAAATAGCTGATATGCTTTAAGATTTTCAAAACATTTTTTTTTACAACAGCCATGTGAAGTGAGGAATGAGTATCTTTATCCCTATTTTACAGAAGAAGGAATTGAGATCAAGACATTTAGTGGCATAGCGAGGAAGTGTCTGAGCCAGTATAGATAGATCTTCTGACCTTGGGGTCAGTGTTCTTTGGTCTATACCAAACTGCATTTTAGCTTTTTTGGGGAGTGGGGGATTGGGGGTGATTGAGAGAAAGAGGAGTGGTTGAGAAGGGATGGGTATTGAGCAGAATAGGAGGGGCATAGGTGACCTAGAAATTTTGTCAGGGAACTTTTAAATGAAAGGAATGAAACTAGTGTTCAGTAAGAGAATATAAATCAGAGTAGAATATGGCAATTTTACTTTTTTTATGATTTAGTCTTGTTCCTGCTTTGTTCCCATACCTCCTCCCCAAGCACGAATACACAATATGGCATTAACAGCATCTTTTCATTCAAATGTTTTGAAGGTAATCAGCCCCATGTTTCTGGTGGCTTTTAATTTTAGGAAATTGGGTATTACTGAAGCCCTGTCAGAGCACAGGAACTACATAATTCTATCACTTTTTAAACAGCACATAGATTCTGTGTATGATTTACCTTATCATGGTGATAATCAAGCAGCAGTTTTCTTTTTTTTTCTTTTTCTTTCTTTCTTTTTATTTTTTTAAAGGCTTCAGCCTAGGAATAATCCTTGTTTGCTTATTGACTTGTTCTTAATTTTTTTCCTTGGTGAATTTTTGCAATGGAAGCCTCTACTTATCTAGCACAGACATTCAATGCATAACTCATACCTTGCCATTCTGTGCCTTCTAGTGAAAGTAATTCTGTTAAGTCTTCTACAGATGGTTATGCTGTCCCAGCATTACTCAGAGTATCTCTTGTAAACAGAATGCTGTCATGATGTAAGGTTCTATAAGAGAAAGAATATTTTTGAATTTGTAACACCTACCTTCCTGAACAATTACCTGAGTAATGTCTTTGGGTTGTTTTAGAGATTGTTGAGATATTTATGCTTGCTTGCTCTGGAGTAGAAGTAAAGGTATTACCTGAAATATCTTTACCCTCCCATCTTCCCTTGCCACTTCTCCCCCTTCCCGTCCCCACCCCATCCCCACCCATCCCCATCCCCAGCCAGCTGCAAAAGCCAGTTTGTGAAATCTGTTTTCATCTGATTTCTTTGGTGTTTTCTGTAAATATTTCATACAAACTGTCCTAATGCAGATAACTGGAGGAGCAGGGTTTGTGGGTTCTCATCTTACTGACAAACTAATGATGGATGGCCATGAGGTTACAGTTGTGGACAACTTCTTTACGGGCAGGAAAAGAAATGTGGAACATTGGATCGGCCATGAAAACTTTGAACTAATTAACCATGATGTTGTAGAGCCCCTCTACATTGAAGGTGAGTGAACATGTCTTGTGTAGTGATGCTTCTGGATAGAGTTTTCATTTAAAGGGGAAATATTTATTGTGTGTGCATTCATGCATCCTATCCTGTTGCTAATTGCTAAAAAGCATAAGCAAGTTTACATTAAGTTTGCAGTTAATAAAGAGGTTATTTTTAAATAGCCTGTCACCATATTCTGTTAAAATATAAATTTCTGGACAGGATGGATTGTTTCATTTTTTGTGCTTGTAGCCTAACCTCCTAGCATAGTGTCTGGCACATAGACACTTAAAAAATGTGCGATATTAATACAGTAATTATAAAATAATAATAATAAAATAAACCAATCCAATAACTGGCAAGTTGAAATTTGTGTGTCATGTAAAACTTGTATATTGCAGTCTATTACCTATGAATAACATATAGAAAAGAATTGGGAGTATCATGGTGATTCAGATTATTTGATTTCTTAGCTATTTGTTTAAATTCTTACTCCAGTTGCCATGTATAGTTGTCAGCTCATGTGCTGTAAATAAGAAAAAATATGTACATGTATATATATTTTTTGTTGGCGTTTTCTTCTTTCTCCCCCTGTACACACACGTGCATGCGTGTACGCATGAACACACACACACACACAACACACACACACACACACACACTTTGGGCACTTGAAAGAAGTTGAGGTTTGGGATATGTCCTAAAAGAAGTCTTTAAATTCCTTCCAGAAACTGCCAAGAAATGATTAGTGGTCTCTTTAGGTTAGCACAGGCATGATGCAGTGAAATATGTTGGTAGCTACCAAAAAGTTAGCACTTTCAGATTTATTTGACAGCTGGTAGTTTTGCTTTGTTCCTTTTCTTCATCAGGGTGGGAGAGAGTTGGGAGATAAAGGAAGAAAATCTCATCTTCACCTCCCCCCCCCCAAAAGAGTACTTGTAATTAGCAAAATGTTTTCTATAATCCTTTCTTCCCCCTTACAAAAACTAGTGAGCACGTTTAAAAACGTTCTTCAGCCTTGAAAAGTTTTAAATTTTTTTGTTGATGTTTGTAAATTGTTAGGATTAATGAGGTAGTAATTACACTGTTTCATTTTGGCTCGTCCAGAGCACATGCCTCATGCAATTCTTCTGTGAAGATTTCCTTCAGCCGTGCATGAAGGCCATTTATAGACGAAAAGATGCCTGGAATTTTAGAACTTATAAGTTATTAGAATTATGTTTCAAAAGCAAAGATATTAGATGGATTTCTCTTTGTTTCTTTTGATTCCTTCTTGTACAAAGAAGCCAACAGCTGCATTAAGAATTTGGTGTGGAATCAGAAAGAAGGAATACTTAATTAGAACCTTGGTAGGTAGGACAGGGTTTTTGGTGACTGAGTGAGTGAAGGATGGTAAGGAATTAAAATAATTAATTTGGGAGGTCAGTGATGCTCTTGGCTGACCTCTGCTCATTGCTGGGAATTCAAAGATGAAAAAGATATAACCAGTTCCTCCCCTTGAGGAGTTTATGGTATAGTAGAGGACATAAGACAAAGACAGGAATAATAATGCTTGTTTGAAAGAGCGTATTAGCTGCTATATGATTAGTTCATAGGAGAGGACAGAGTAAGTTGTTTTTTGGTTTGGTTTTGTTTTTTTGGCAAGGGTTAAGTGACTTCCCCAGGGTCACACAGCTAGTAAGTGTTATGTGTCTGAGGCCAAATTTGAACTCAGGTCCTCCTGAATCCAGAGCTGATGCTCTATCCACTGCACCACCTAGCTGTCCCACGACAGAATAAGTTTTATGAGAGATTTGAGAAGGAAGAAATTACTTACAAGAGTTATAGGTAGATCTTAAGGAATGGGAAAAGTTTCTACAAATGGATGTTATGGGGCAGAGTTTGGAAAGGTTACTTGCGGGCTTGAGGCAGAGTGAATGAAAGTACAGAGGGTGGGATGAACTTGAAAGTGTTTGGTTTTAGTTGTTGGGATGGAGAATAAGTGGAGGGCAGTGATAAGTCTGGAAACAGGTTGGAACTGAATTGCAGAGCACTCCAGGGGAAAGCCCACTCACTCACTTTGGGCATTGATATAAAGTGGGGAAAGTATGTGTGTGTGTGTGTGTGTGTGTGTGTGTGTGTGTGTGTTGAGGCTTGCATTGTAATTGTTAGTGGAAAACCATCACAATCTAAGGTCTTTGTCCATGGCAACAGATAAATGGAGGTGTAAGTGAAGTTAAGGAAGATACAGCGGGAGATGTTGGCCATTAGAACTGTGTCTTCTTGGAGAGAGAAATACATTTAATCCGCAGTAATCTGTGGACGTTGGACCTAAAGAGAGTAGAAGGATAAAATAAAGAAGTAATCAACAATTGTTTTAAATCTTGTTCTCATGTTCCTCCAAATCTTTTTTTTTTTTTAGAGCTATCCCAAAGTAAGCAAAGGAATTCTCCTGAATCTCATTTTCTTTCGTTGCTGACCTATGCAATGAGCAGGATCAATATAAAGAGGAATATTGATGAAAGACTTGGACTATTAATACCTGAGTAATCATTGTAGGAGGCCAAAAATAATGTTGCCAAGCATACCATAATATGATACTTTAAGAATCTGAGTTGTGCTCTTACAGGGAGCTTGTAGAGTGGAAAGAATACAAGACTTCACTGTCAGAATACAGGGGTTATTGAGTCACTGTGGGACCTTGGGCAAGTCTCTTCATTTCTTGAGGCCTCAGTTTCCTCATCTGCAAAATGAAGGGAGATTTCTGAAATCTCTTCCAGCCTTAAATTGTGTGATCTCATGCTATGGTTTTAATCATTTAACTTGGGAATTCCTTAACACAAATTTTCACATTCTAAGTATGAAGCACAAAGATCAGTTGCTAGAAGGCAAAGATCATATCTTTTTAGAATCTTTGGATAATAAAATGGTATAGCTTAAAAAACCTTAGAGATCATCTATTCTACTGCCTCACTTTACAAGGCTATATGCCAAGAGTCAAAATCCTTTTCTCTGGTAGATGTGAATTAAGTTCTCAAAAATTACTATTATCATAATTATGAAAAAAAAATTTATTTACATGCCTATAATTGCAAAGGGTACCATGTAAAAGTCAAATAGTTTTATCCTCTGAAAAATGAGGGCATTGAACTTGATTATATTTAAAGATTACTTTTTTCTGATTATGATGTTCTATAATTCTAAGTGAGAACTGAAAACTTAATAGCACTGAAAGGTGGTCCAGCAGTACTTTTTGTATTCAGTGGATATAAAGTAAGATTTAACTGATTTGAGGCCGCTAGGTAGCGCAGTGAATGGAGCACTGGCTCTGGAGTCAGGAGGACCTGAGTTCAAATTCAGCCTCAGACACATAATACTAGCTGTGTGACCTTGGGCAAGTCAATTAACCCCATTGCCTAGCCCCCCCCCAAAAAGTTAAAAAGTTAAAGATTTAACTGATTTTTTTGAAATCAAGCAATCCCAAATGCATAGGATAATGGATCTAGAGCTTGGAATGGACCTTGGAGACCATCCAGTCATAGGTCAAAAGATGAAGCAAAAACCTTAGTTTTTCCACTACCTTACAAGCTCTCAGAAATCCCCTTTGGTTTTTTTTTGTTGTTTTTTTTTCCTCAAGACTATTGTGGGACTTTTGGTATTAGCATAAGAGAGGGATGAGTGTGTGTGTGTGTGTGTGTGTGTGTGTGTGTGTGTGTGTTCATATTTTTGGACTGGACCTGTCGGAATGCAAATTCCTAATGAGGAAATTCACTCTCCCAATGCAAATCAGCATTTTCTCTAAAGTTACATCTTGAGTAGTTGCCTGAGATGCTGACAGGTTAAGTGACTTGCTCAGGATAGCACAGCTAGGATATATCTTTGAGGCTAACTCACTATCATGACTATGCCATGCTGGCTCTTCTCTGTGTATTTACACAGATATGTGTATGTTCTTCTGTGGATGGTGCTGCTGCATTAGTAGCCTGAGAGTAAGGTGCTGGATCCTGAGGTGTTTTTTTTCCCACTCCTGTATTTTTTAAAAATTGTGATGCCATATTTTACTCTACATTCAGCCATTCATGAATGGAGCTTACTGGATAAGGGGAGAATATGACATGTTCCTGTTTTCTTCCTCTTTTTTAGAGGCACAAGTCATCTCAAATTTTAATTAGCCCTCTTGCCATCATTGTGGAAGTAAAGTAGCTTGGATGTCTGGCTGAAGTTTTAATGGTCTCTGGGGCTGGGCTGAGGCTTTCAGCAGAGAGGAATCAGTGGGGTGTTATGCAATAGACCATCTATTTTTATGTGTGCCATCTCCCTGCATGATAGGAAATAAGCTGATTTTACTGTTTTTACATTCTGGACAGTAGCTCTGGTGGGATACTTGGAGACATTTTCCTTCTCAGTTTGTTGCAGTTTTCTTTCCAGATTTTAATAAATGCTTTATTTGCATAGATTTCAGGCATGGTTAAAGCATACTCTAAAAGAAACCACAAATAGACCTCCACCCCACCCCCCATGCATCCCACCCCTGCCCTGATTTATTGGCAGTGCCTCTGACAGGCATGCCTCTCATCTGTGTGGTCTATACCATCCCTTTTTCCTTACCTCCTCCCCTTCCCTTGATAGTACAAAGGGAACAAAACTCCTGTGTTCTTACTGTGTTTTCTGAGCTATTTTTGGCAGTTTTATGAAAAGGTAAAAATAAGCATGTCTTTAAAAGGGGTTAAACTAAACTAATTTAAAATTCTTCAGGCTCATTCCCTGAGGGTCATAATTTTGCTAGCTGAGATTACCAGACATTGCAAATGGGCAGTGCTTATGGAAGGTTCATTTAGCGGTCAGTATCATTGGAGAGAAGGAAACTTGTAGTGAATGACTAGTACATACCTGTCTTTTGCCTTCCACTTCCATCCTTCCCTCCCCACACCCCACCCTCCACAACCTACTTCAGAATTATTTTTCATTTTTATTACAGGCTGAAGTATAAACAGTTGACATGCTATGGAGCTAATTCTAGACTAGCAGAGTTAACA